ACACAGTTATATTCTGAAGAGATATCTCGTGTAACAGCTGCAACAGTTATAAAATTGTTATAAAATTATCGTTTAAAATTTAAAAGGAAGGGAAAAATGAGATAAGTAAACAATTTAAATGTGAATAAGTTGTAGCTAAACATTATACCGTAACAGTAAAAAGAAGAAACAAGCATAATTGTATATTCATCTCTTAAGAAAGAGTAATTTTTAATATATTATGAAAGTAAGCTTGCTTTTATAATTGTATGTAATCACATTATATGTATGATAGTCTAACATACGTACGTTGCTATAAATAACTCGTATTAATCACATGATAAATATTTAACAGTAACTAGAAAACACTTGTTCACAAAGTGTACATGCAATTTTCCTTTTACTTCTCTTCTGTAGATTAACATTATCGGATATTTATGTAACATATTTGATGTATACATAACATGTTTGATACGTATGTTGCTGCTAATTGTACAATAAAATTGCAAGCTTATTGTTTAATCGCACTATATTAATTAAGAGAAACATGGTAATTCCGATAACTGTATTAAGTTGTTCTAAAGTTTCTGCGGAAAAAAAATGGAATAAGTTTTTAACGAGCTTTCTTTTTGTATGTATCAAATTATCGATTAACAGATACATATATCGACAACTCACTTGTAATGAATATTCAGATGAATATTCAAATAATTTTATAAGTATATTTAATCCTTACGGTTGTAAATAAGCACATTGAAAATTGTTTATTTTAAATCTGCACATCTTTTATATTTTAGTATAAAAACGTTTAATTCTAATCACTACGATAATTAGGAGAAGATAATATTTAAAATAATTTTATTTTAAATATGTATTTAAAATCGAAATGATATTTTACGTTTTCCATTTTAAATGGTTTTTGGAAAATGATTCCATTTCCATTTTATATTTGAAATGGAATTATCTCTATCATTTAACCGTTTATAAAATAGGTAATTAATTTTTCTATGTATTCATAAATTTCCCTGGAATCACTGACGCATAAGAATGAAATCCAATCCTGTGATTGGCCAAAGCACAGTTTCTTCTATGGTCATATTGAACGTTTGTGACTCGGAAGCATCATTTGTCATTTGTGTATGCGACCGCGACGACGATAATGGTTAAGGAAAGAAAGAAGAAGATTTTATTATATGGGCTGCATAGTCGGTATATAATAGTGTGGTCTATCCGCAATTAAAAATTAATCAATTTCGAAGTTAAAAATGACAAGCAATCAAGAGAATAATGACATCGAAGAGAAAGAAAACGAAGAAAAAGAAAAAATACAATTGACATGAAAGTTAATTTAAATATTAAAACGATACCCCTAATATTAGACGAGACATTTTTCAAGGTTATTTAACTCTAATCTAAAAATAGCGAAAATCTACGAGGAGAATGTACAATAAATATAAAATAAAAAATCAAATTGATTGACAAATTTTTTTTATAAAATACTTAAATACAGGAAAAATCATTTTGCATTCGAAAACCATTTAACATACTTATTTATTCATTTTTTATTTAAAATAGATTCGAAAAATCTGTTTTGCATTTTAAATACACTCTTTACATTTAGTACTTTAAATGAAATTTAAATAGCATTTTACTCAGCTCTGATGATTAGAGAGGTTGAAATTTTTTCATAATTAATCTTTTTTTGAAACTATTGAAATTGACAAAAATTAATGCAACTCAATTGAAATTGAGCTGACGCGTATGCGATATATGGATTATAGAACACACTATATTTGATGTATACATATACAGTATTTATACAGTACTATATA